ACAGGAAACCCTGTCTGAAAAACCAAATCAAACCAAACCAACCAGCCAACTAATGAACATTTTGAATGTGATGTGTTCAACATCTGTTGACTGACCACCTGAGTGATCCTGGCTCTCTGAGAGACGATGTGCTGGAGAGGAAAAGCTTACACACTCAACAGGAAGCGAGGCACCGGTCGCAGCACACCCTCACAGGACCGATCCTAGGAGCGCAGGGGGCGTGAGCTATGCTGGACCTTCCTAAACTTAAGGCAAACGGGTATCTATCAAAGTCTGTGGCTGCAGTTTTGGCTGACTTCAGCCTGTGGGGAAGTGGTTTGCCTTTCCCTGCGTTATTTCATACATACCCGTGCTCATTGGCTTCTCTGAACTTGTGGCAGCTGGGGACACAGTGGAGGCTTCCCCAGCAAGCATGACGTCCAGTATCAAAAATCAGAGGCTCGCAGGGAGGGGGCGATGCAGCCTGGCATGCTGTGCACTGGTACACACGAGAACCCCAGTGTTCATTGTTAACTTCTGCATCTCATCTGACACACACATGACTATCACACAACACTCCTAAACTGTACCCCTAGCCTGAGTGAACCCCAGTCTCTACCAACCCTGAAGCTAACAGTGCGACAGCAAATGAATTCCACAGGTAACAAAAACAAAACAAAACAAAACACCCCCAAACAACAACAACAACAAAACCGGCAGCTCTGTTGTTTCCCCATCTTGATGACCTAACTGATGGCCATCGCTATATTGTATGAATGTGTTGATCAAGACTATGAAAGTTCACACAACCTGTCTCCTGATGGAACAAGTCATCCAGCTTGAATCTTACTCTGGGGCCAGCCACACAATCATTCATCTTTGGCTCAAAGTAAAGCCATTTCCTTATTCCTCCGTTCTTCTTTTCTTTGGTTTCTCTCGGTTGCTAATCGAGAATTAATCCAACATTTGTGAACTCCTGGGCTCAAGTGTCTCCTGACTCAGAGCTGGGGTAGCTGGGACTACTGATGTCTTCTGTCTTTGAATTTCTAGTGACTTCAGCTACTTTATAGCAAACAGCCTGACTGGGACAGGACTCTTCTCATGTTCTAAACTTCTCAGTGCTGCTTTCCAAATACTGTACAATCTGCTTTTTCATCCTCTGATGGGATTTAATTCTCTCTCTCTCTCTCTCTCTCTCTCTCTCTCTCTCTCTCTCTCTCTGTAACTGCATGCAGGTGCCTGTGGAGGTTAGAAAAGTGTGTAGGATCCCTGATAGGTATTGGAGTTGTGAATGGTCTAATCTGGGAACTGAATTTTGAGTCCTGTGAAAGCATAGCAAGTGTTCTTAAGGCTGAGCCATCTCCGTAGACTCCCACACCCTCAACCTTGCTGTGATTTTGTACAAAGCGTTGTCGAATGGTAGGAGTGTTTTGTGACCTGGTCAATCATTAAAATGGCAGCTGTTAGGAATTAAACCTAGAGTCAACACATCCTCAGTTATTTGATTGCTGGGGAAGGGTTGGTAGTGAATTTAATCTCAAATAATCTGCAGGCTTGATGCTTGTTGGTGATTCTTGCCCAAGATGTAGATGAGATTCACATACAAATGTGTAAATGTAAGAATACGTAAGGATCAGCATATCTTTGTAGCTTTAATTTTTTAAAACTTATTTTTTAGTGATTTTCTTAAAACACTTTAACCTCTCTTGTAGCCAACCACCTACCATAGGTAGTAGGGGTTGGACCTGTTTAGAAAGGTTCTTTGGAGTAACTCTCTTTTGTGTTGTCTGGAAATCAGCAGTTCAATTTACAGGTTAACAGCAACAGTTCAATCCACTCACAAACACTTCATGGATACACTAGTAGTCTAGTTCAGTAGAGTAGGGATAGCAAACAGGAATCAACAACACTGGCACTACCCAGCAGAGACACCCAAGCCTCAGCTTCTACATGAGTCAACAGGAGGGACCAGGGTCAACAGGAACGCCAGGAGCTATATTCTCTTAGCGAATCAAAGATCAGCAAAGGCTTGAGACCAACAAGCATTGTATAGCTAACTCTAGAAGTAAGCCTAGCTCAGCCTTAGTCATTGTCTGTCAATCCCTTTTTATATAACCTTTTAGACATCATGTGTCCTCCACAGGTCTTGCCTCAGCACATTCATCTGTCTCAGCTGACATTAGTCTATCAATCAGCCCAAGTCCACAGGATTGACAAAAAGCTTTAACACACCATCAGAAGTTGTTTTGGTGCATTTCTCTCACTAGAGTCCTGCCAGACGTAGCCCAACCTCACAATGTAAGGTGGACTAATACATGAATCCTTTCACATGTTTGCTTTAACAGAACATCCTTTCTCCTATATCTGCTCCAGTAAAACGTTGTTTTACAAGTCTGTCTTAGCTTTTCATCTATGCCCACTTCAACTAAATGTTCCTTCATGTTCGACCCAGCTAAACACCATCTAACTGACTTTCTAAAGAACCCTTAAATTTCCACTCCATATCTTAGTGTGAGTTACATATGTAATCTAAAATATTTCACCAAAGAAAAATCACATGCACACTTTTTTGTTGTTATCTGTTTGTTTTTTGAGGTAGGGCCTCTCTCTGTATACCAGGCTGGCCTTGAACTCACAGAGTGCCTCTACATCCCAAGTGCTAGGATTAAAGGCGTGGGCCACCCCCCCCCCCCAAGCTCACACCTCTTAGAATCAAAGTGTGACAGTGATGTTGGATGATCACACTCGATTCTTGCATTCAATCATCTCCTATGTATGGGAGAGGGAAATTCAAAATGCTCACCAGATAGAACTCATAATATTTAAAAGTTGATGATGTTCTTTGAACTTTGAGAGCTGAGAGATTAGAAGGGGGATGAACAACACGAAGGTCCTGATATTCTACCAGTTTTGACTTATGAAAATGACAATTAGAGTTTTCCTGGACTTTATCCCATTATATTCCTACTTATTTGGTGAATATCCTTGAGAAAACACTACTATGTCTTTACCATAATTACCAATACGTTCATATTCATTTTTCTTTTTAGTTTTTTATATGGTTAAACAGATGGCAGGGGGGAAGTTTTGTTCTACACAAAGCTCTGTTACAGACCAGGCTAAACGTCAAAATGGATTCCTCCAGAGACTAAGGTGCTAAGCTGAGCACACACACAAACAGCGGGCAGCGGAGCTTACTAGCGAATGTGTCTAAATGAACCATGCAAGGCCACGAGCATCCTTCTGTCTCCATCCATTCCGAAGAGAAACTGAAACAGCTGGATGCTTGTCTTATGAACCACTCATTTCTGTGTCTATCTTACTCCCCAGACTCATATTCCCTGTCCCTCACTAGGAAACTAAGTTTGAAACAACCAATCTACCATTGCTGCTTTTTTTTTTCCCTCCTGTTTTCTTTTTCCCATGAACTAGGTCAACTCCCTTTCCTAGGCTCCTGGAACACTTACTGCATGGAACAAAGTATTGCCCAGTTCTAGAATAGTAGTAGTAATAATAATAGTAATAATTTATTATATATAATATCATGTTATTAATTATTGTTATTAATAATTAACAACAACAACAGTAATAAAAAACAGCAATTAAGGTCTTCAAATTAAGACTTTGTGATGTTGTCCTTCAAAAATTTTGGGGTGGACTGGGTCCAGTTCCTGAATGAGGTCTCCTTGTTGCTATAGAGATCAGGGGTTGTAGAGGACATGAAGTCCACATGCTTACTTTACATACAGCACCAGAGAATCAGAACTGGTACACACTCAGGCTTTTTTTGTTCAGTTGAAGAAACTGACACCTGGAAGGTTGTTGTGGATGCTGTTTAACAACCTGTTGATCTTTACTGTTCTGTGGAGCCAGCCCACATCCAGATCCCCCACATCCTCAGCACTGATTCTCAGTCAATAGAACCCAGCCTTATGAACAAGGTCCCATGTCCTTTGCAAAGGAGTTTGCTGTAATGCTTGTCACAAACTGTTCCTCCACAGGCCCTTATGCTGAGCATTATTTCTCAGTCAGTAGAACCCATTCTTGCAGAAGAGGTTCCAGGTGATTTGTAAAAGTCCTGTACAAGGCAGGAGAGTTTGATGCAATCATGCCATAAGCTTTGTTGATAACTGTCACATTCCAGAAGTTTGAAACAGTCCAAGGGCTAACTGAGGCATTGCCTCTTTTGGTTCATTTCTCTGCTGGCAGTAGTAAAGCTTGCAGGGACCCCACAATGGGCCACCCCAGGGTAATCCCGCTAAGGCTGTCTCCCACCTATTTGCCATGCCATTCACAGACAGATGCTGGTGCTGGTTCAGTTCTCCATCCTGTAGTGTGACTCACATTCTGGGTTTGTTTTCTCTTCCATGGCATTCCTTTGCTTTACAGTCAGTTATATTAGACCAGTGGTTCTCAGTCCTCCTAATGCTATGACCCTTTAATACAATTCCTCCTGCTGTGGTGACGCTCAACCATAAAATTATGTTTGTTGCTACTTCATTACTGTAACTTTGCCACTGTCATGAGTTGTTATAAAAACATCGGACAGGCAGGAGACCTGTGTCACTCCTGTGCAAGGGTCACAACCAGCAGGTTGAGGAACACTGATTTAGGAGAACTGGAGGTCATCAACCTGCACTTTTGTCCTTTTGGTCACAGGGATAGCCTTGCTAAACACAAAGGACACCTACTTCAGCATGGCAGAGCCAGACACAGTGAATAAAGTCCCCGACCTTGGGGAAGTGAATAAACCTGTCACACATTCTCATTTGGAACATAGAAAATCCCATATTCAAACTCATACTCTGACCACAGAATAAGAACGGGCACCACGATGACCCATGACCAGCAGGCAGGTGTTCAAAGAACCAGAGTTCTGCTCAGTGATGAGACTCACCCCCTCAGCCCACATCACAGAATTATCCCTTCCACTAAGGTACTGAAAGCCCCTGGGAAATGGCATAGTTTTTAACAGACATGAGAAAATACATGCAATAACGTCTGTGACAATCAATACCTACGGCAGAAGTGGAGAGTCCGGGGACTTTCGAAGAGTAAATTGTCTTTATGGGCTTTGCTCTGCAGCCAAGGGAGAAGAGTCTCCTCTGGGCCAAAAGCATGCTAGAGAAAAGAGACATTGAGAGAGGCGTCAATGACCATTTGCTGCACCGCTGCAAGACACCCGTGGGTGACTGAGAGAACACAGCTTTTATAAATCTTAAGTGGTGATGAGACGGGGATTTACACACACACACGCGCACACACACACACACAAATGCTTCAGATTTCTTCCCCTCACTATGCTATGTTTTATCAAGACTTCAAAGTTCAGAGCATTGACATCGTTAAACAGTGGTAGTACTAACTGAGTGTGGGGCTCTGAGGACATCTTGTGGGGACGCACTTCTCTCCTTTAAACATGTGAGTTCTAGAGAAACAACTCAGGCTGGTAAGCTTGACAGCAAGCACTTGTGAGCGGAACCATCTCACCAGTCAGCAACTATACTAGCTTTCTTCCCTGCCTCCTTTCCTTTCAAATTCTCTTTCTACTATATAGTATTCATTTTTGGAATCATCCGAATGCTCTTCTACTTCATCTTACAGAGACCCTCATTCAAACTTTAGGTGGAGAGAGAGAGTCCAAACTGGAGATCTCCTTGGGTCCTACATGGAACCAACCTTGGCTTGGGAGGTTCTTAGAGAAGGGCTGTCTGGGAGCTGCAAAAACAAATGACTTGAAGTCAAATCGTGATTCCAAGTTTGTGTCCTGTGCTCTGTGGAGACAGCCTTCCAGTCTGCTTTCTCTCTGTTTTGCTTTCTTTCTTTCTCTGAAGATCTCCAGACAGCTCTCTCTTGCTATTCTAAAAAAAATTCTCGGGATAGCTCATCTCTTGCATAAACTCAGTCTTTTTTGTTTGTTTGTTTGTTTTTGTTTTTTCGAGACAGGGTTTCTCTGTATAGCCCTGGCTGTCCTGGAACTCACTCTGTAGATCAGGCTGGCCTCGAACTCAGAAATCCACCTGCCTCTGCCTCCCAAGTGCTGGGATTAAAGGCGTGTGCCAATACCGCCCAGCAAACTCAGTCTTTTATTTTACATATCCATCCAGTCATTTACTCCAGGTTTCCCTTTTGATTGTCCTATGACTCAGCATTCTTAGGAGACAGCAAACACACATTTTCTTTTAATATTATATAAGGATTCAGAGATCCTCCTGCCTCTGTTAAGCACAGACACCTGGGTTGGAGCACATCCTGGAATTACCATTTCCCCAACACCGGGGTCTAACCTGGCTCTGTCCTAGGCTGATCTTGCACTCAGGAATCTGTCTTCGTATCTTTCTGACAAGCTAGCTCACAGTGCAGCTGCCTTTGTTTCTTTATATCCATGAAGACCCTCATATGATTCATACTGGATTCTTACATTTTGCATAGTTGAGAAGTTATGTATTTTCGAACTTATGTTTTTAGAGTTATTTTGCACAGCCCTAAGAGCTGTCCTGAAGGTCTCAGCATTTACTATTTTGCATTAACCACACTTTTGCCTTCTATACTTAGTGCTGATTATCATGGAGGGAGTCATTAATGTTAACAGGGAGGACATTCCTTAAAGGAGGAACATAAAATATATACATTATTATACAAACAAGCCTTACACCCATAGCAGCCACAGACGCTCATGGAGAACCACATCCACTGGACCTGTCCCAGTGTCAGGAACCACGTCATTTTGTCCCCACCAAGGCCATGCTGGACCTGGTGGCGTTCCTCACCCTAGGATCTTGGGGAACCCTGAGGAAGAGGAGGAAAAGGAAGAGGAGGAGGAGGAAGAGGGAGAGGAAGAGGAGGAGGAGGAAGAGGGAGAGGAAGAGGAGGAGGAAGAACTGTAGGAGCCACAGGGTCGAGAATACCAGGAGAACCCGGCTCACAGATATCAACAAAGTAGGGCTCCTAGAGAACTTCCCCTTGTGTGCTGAGCAAAGTGTCCTTTGTAATCTTAGCAGTTGTAAGAGTAAAATGGGAAGATCATGTTTGTGGCTAGCCTGGGCTAGCAAGACTGTCTCAAAATACTGAGTGACCAGGATACAGCTCAGTGGTAGAGTACTTGCCTAACACAAGAAAAGTCTTGTGTTTAATCCCAGCACCTTAAAACAGAAGAAAAACCCTAAAGCCATCTCCCCTTGGATTCCCTTTGAGTATGCCCATAGCTTACTCTGCATTGCATTCCCCTGTGGTGCTCTGGTATTCTTAAATAAATAAATACCAGTATTCCTTTGAGGCATCTTCTCAAATCCATTGATGTTTTATTGAGATTGACAATACTTAAGTCATTTTACATTGAGATTTGTGAAGATATTCTAAATTAAATTATAAAGCTTTTAGGCCAGGTATGGTGGCACCTCTTTGATTCCAGTGCTCTGGAGGCAGAGGCAGGTGGATCTCTGTGAATTCAAGCCCAGCCTGTTCTACAGAGTGAGATCCTTTCTCAATAATGATGATGATGATAATGATGATAATAAATATCATCATCTTTGATCTCATCATGAACATGACATTTCAGTAAATAAAAAGATAACTTTTAGAAGTTTTAAAATCTGGAATAGATCATTTTAGGAACTAGTCAGATTTCAGTTGTGGTCATCTGGGTAACAGTCACTAGCAGTGAAAGGACAATTTATAAGCTAGGCCCAGAGGGAGGTGTCTGCAATTTCAGCTACTCCAAAGAGCGAAACTGGAATGTTTGTCAAAACATTCATCCCTTAAATTCCTAAATTTTTGAGACGGGGTCTAATGAGGTCCAGTCTGGCCTTGAACTTTCTATGTAGCTGGAATTGCAGGCATGTGCCACTACATCTGGCTTCTTTAAACAGGTTCTGGATAAATGAGAAGCTATGAATCTTAAGTTATTTTTGAAGAGACAACTATTTCAATAGTCTCCAGCCAACAGTTTCACAAGAATGCATTGGGGATTGCTTCTGTACCTGTCGGGAAATCATTTAGTCTCAGGAAAATGCAGGGAGATCTGTGCAATGAAGCTTCACAACCGTTCTGCTACTTAGAACTGGAAGGAAATCCCAGCAAACAGAACTCATCATCCGTCAGCTTTTATTCTGAGACCAAGCGTGCAAGGCAGCTGTACAAATCCATGGCTTTTCTTCTAACCATCCATCAAATCTTAGACTAGGAAGGGGTAGGACATGGCTCACTGGGTGAAGTGCTTGCTGTGCACACAATGGGACTTGAGTAACGATTTGCATACGAGATGACAAGTCTTGCCTATGCAAATGCTGATGCTTCCCCTGTAAAAGGGACTGTGGGTTCCCGGGTTGGTTCCTTCGAACCCAGGGCCATGCACAGGCTAGACAAAGCTCTCTAGCTAGCAGTCTTAGCTATGTGCGCAATTCTTTTTCTTTTTTTTTTTTTTTTTTTTTTTTGGTTTTTTTTGAGACAGGGTTTCTCTGTGTAGCCCTGGCTGTCCTGGAACTCACTCAGTAGACCAGGCTGGCCCTGAACTCAGAAATCCACCTGCCTCTGCCTCCCAAGTGCTGGGATTAAAGGCATGTGCCACCACCACCTGGCCCAAGCAATTCTTATCTTAATTTGAAGCTTGGTCAAATTAAAAAGTCTCCAACTCCTTATATAGCCTCAGGCTATCCTGATTCCACCTTTGGCCTCCCAAGTAGCTGGTATAGGTGTAGATAGCCCCCAAGATTTTTGACTTGGGAAGCACTACTTTGAGAATTAAATATAGTGTATTCCCAACTTGTTAGAAATAATTAACCTTTTGCATCTTCTTATTGCCAAGTTGGCTTATTGCCCTCCAATCACCAAGGGGGCAAACCCACTTCATTCAGTTATACATTTTGAACCTGAGAAGCAAGCTAGTTTTCCTATTTATTTATTTATTTACTCATTTATTTACTTGAGACAAGGTCTTATGTAGCCCAGGCTGTCCTTAAGCCGAGGATGACCTTGAACTCCTGATCCTCTGGCCTTCACCTCCCAGGTGGGATTACAACCTGGGTCATTACATCTGGATGACTTTTCATTTTTAAATAAATGTGGTTTTGCTTGAATGCAATTAACACTGTATATTGATATTCAATATAAAATAATTGGATAAAATAAATTGATACATGAAATTAGAAGAAAAAAAAAGTAGTTGGTTTTGGTTTCTCTCTAAGCACAAGGGCCTGTGAAGAAAACCAGAGAGACGTGAATCAGGCTGACCCAGTCAATCTATTCATGGCACAGGGTATATAAAATATAAAACCCATAGCAGATACACAGGAATCAACAGAAAAATAAAACTGCCATTTTATCACCTCTAGGGAAGAATGATTCAGAAGGAAGATCGTGGGCAACCTAGAAATTAAAAGTTGATGAATTACTGAAGGAAAAACGCAAATCTCACAGGTAGGCAAAGCATTCAAAACTCAATTTAAACATGGTTAAAGTTTAGTGCTCTGAATTTACCACTCAAACTAACAAGTTACAACCCTGACCCATATGAGGTATGCACCAAAAAGAACAGTTAGAGCGTTAGTAATTTGAAAAAGTTCAGAATCTTCAGGTTACCTGAAAGCTCAAGAAAGACTATCAGAGACAACTCCTCAAAGGGCTGGTGCTAACGAGCAGATCCCGTTTGTTCTCAACACGTGCCATACCTGTTAGTCCGCTTCTCGAAGGTTTATAAAGTTCACTAATTGCAACAGAGGGAGGTGAACAGGCTTCCAGCTTGCAAAGTACAAAGAGGCGTTCAAGGCCATAAGAAGAGGTGAAGCACAAAAAAATACAGTCAATTTATTGGCATAGGAGTTAAGAGGCACCATTCAAAAACAGCTTTAACGCCGGGTGAAAGTGAGATTTCGTGTAATCGTACATTTCTCCCAAGAGAAGCTGTATGGCCGCCTGATGGCAGGAATTGGAATACAGCACACAGGCAGAAGTTCAACAGATTTACAGACTGGCTGGCTGCAGCCCTGAGCAAGCTTGCCGTGTGTCACCTACCTACCAGTCAGATGGGGCAGCAGAATCTATAGGTGGACCGCACAATGGAGGTGTTTAGGGGCGAGAAGCTCAGATCTGCACGAACGTTTGACCTTCAGACACCACTGATAAGATTGCTTTTGTCTCTTGAAAAGCTCGAAAAAGATAAGCTCAGGCTTCTTGTTTAATTGCAATAGTTTCCCTTATCAACCTTGAACTTTCGCTTTACCCGGGCTAAGGAGGTAGCTCAGTTAGCAGAGACCAAATTCTGGGTTCCAACCCAGGCAAGGACTAAAACCAACAGTGGTGGTGCACACCTCTAATCTTGGCACTGGGTGTGTGGGTGTGTGTGTCGGGGGTGTGGGAGTGGAGGTAGGAAGATTAAAAAGTTCCTTTGCTACATAACTACTTTGAGAACAAGAGACTGTCTCTAAAAACAAACACAAAAATCTATCACGGATGAACTGAAGTCAGTATTGCCTGTGCAAGAGTGAGTTCTAGATACCCCAAACCAAACAAAAGGACAAGGGAGGACTGAGGTTCAGTTATCTCAGAGCCCTTCTTTCTCCAAAGAAAAGCCTGTCAACCCCAAGGTAAACCCCCACAGTCTCCGCTGCGGTCCGACCATGAGCGCTTCTCCGGCCCGCCGATCACCCTCTGGCTCCAGCCCCACAAACTCTGTACGCCCCGGGCTGCAACACCGCGTACCAGGTCCCGCCGGCTTACCTCGTTCTCCTGGTTCGAATGCGCCCCTAGCCTTAGTCTGGAGATCGCTAGGTGTCGCAGGGGTCCCTGGCGAAATGCACTCGGGGATCCAGACGCAGAGAGCAGCAGGAACCCTCCTGAGGGTAGAGGGGGCGGGGTAGAGGCGGTGCTTGGCTCTGGCCGGGGATTGGCTCCGGCGTCAGGGTTAAGGGTTCGGATTGGCTGCGGAGTTCTCCAATCCTGGTGCGCACTGTGAGAGTGCGGGTTTAGCTCCCAGGCTGGTTGAGTCTCCAGGATAAAATGGAAGTGTGCGACAGTTTGGGGCAGGACTGATTTTAAATCTCTGCTTCCTGGATTTGAAGCAGGTTCCGGGTGAAAGACTTGAAGATGCTTGAGAGCCCGGCCTGTGCAGTGTGCAAAAGGACTTGTAGGTGTCTATTTGTTCCCTCTGATGGGACGAGAGGAGGGAGAAGGAATCTTCCCTTCGGAACTGTAAAGTGATGCAGGACCTAATGGGCGGAGGCAAGCGACACTGAAGCGGGAAGGCACCTAGTAACTGAGGAGGAAACCCGGACTATGGGGGAAAGGATGGGCGCACAGGCACTGCTTGGGGCCGGGGCCGGGCGCGGCCGGGGGGGGGGGGGGGCAGGTGAGTTTCTGTTAGGAGCACAGCTTGGGGGTTAGATTTTTCTTCCTCTTGCGTTGGGAAGGAGTCGAGGTATTGAGGTCATGAGAGTGGCTGAACGCTGTACTCATGCCTGTAGGAAAGAGCAAACGCAGGTGGCTTTGGTTGAGCGCTCTGTCCTTGTCACAGTGAGCCAGCTGCTTCTGTGCTTTATCATGAACACTAAATGAGCTCATTGTAAGCAAGGGTACAGGGAGGCCGCCGAACTGACGACCAGTGGGTGGGAAGAAGATTTTTTACCTAAGATATGGGGGAGAGAGAATAGTTAGAGGGTTTGGGAAAGTCTAAAGCAATTATGGCTACTTCTGTGGGAAGAGAGCAGAGGGGCAGACTGGCAAGGGCTGTCTCTCTTGAGAGCAGAGGGAATAACAGGATAAACCTTGTGAGTTATAAAGAAAAACCGGTGGCTGCAGCTGTGTCCTGTGTGTGTGTGTGTGTGTGTGTGGTGTGTGTGGTGTGTGTGGTGTGTGTGGTGTGTGTGGTGTGTGTGTGGGGTATATGTGAGGGTGTGTGATGTGTGTGTGAGTGTGTATGTCCTGTGGATTGGAACAGCTTGGAAGTTTAGGGTAGAAGGAGGAGGGCTTGAGGACCCTGTGTCTTTGGTAGGAACCTTGTATCTCAATAGGCAAGTGGCTTTTCCTGACAGACAGAGGTTTCAGAGGTCCCTGAGGAATGAGCGTGAACTTTTGTCTCTCCCTGTAATTCTACAGTGGAGCTTGAGGTGAGACAAGACTTCATTTTGAACCAAGTCAGTGGGCCTGCCCACTTGGGATTCTTGGAGATTTCCTTTTTGGACCTAAAACTCAGGATGATCCGGAATGGCTTCTTCTGCAGTTGGTGTTCTGTTGATATCGCTGAGGTTGAGTTGGGGATCATCACTGTCCATTCTGAAGGTGTTTGAGGCTACTTGACTGGTCTGTCCCTTTTCTTTCTCATTTCTCTTTTTCACATGCCATTACAGTAATTGGCTAGTTTCTTATTACAAAAACAGCATATGTTCCATGAACACTGTGTTCCTAGTTTCTGATAGAATTAAACTGGCCACGTGATGGAAGGCCGCCTTTATTGCCTCTTTGATTTGTGGTTTCCTTGCTAGTTAGAATGTCTTTTTTTGAGCTAAACATGGGATCTACAAGTGGAAGTTTTTCGTTTTTTTTCCTTTGTTTGTTTGTCTTTTTGGTTTTAAGATAGTATCTATCTCACTATGCGACCTTGACTGTTTTCACTTCTTAACCCATTGCCCCCACACTCAGACACCCTTCTGCTTCAGCCTCTAGAGTGCTAAGGGATACAGGCATGCAAACCCTTGCTCAGCTTCTAAGTTGTAGACCATTGCTTCCCGGCTAGGCAATCATAGTGGTATTGGCATTAATTTAAATGTTTCAAAAGCCTTAACAGAAAGTGCGCATTTACCCACAAAAGTTTGTGAAGGTTACTCTATATCTTTCTGTCTTAATCCACTTATATTCTCTGGATTGAATGCAGTTTAGCTGCTAGCATTTGCAATTTAAGCTACTCAAATCATCTTCGAACTGTTGTTTCAAAGGGGAAAATGAATTTTGACTTTACAGATCATTATGGGAGGGAAAGTGATTGAAGATAAAGGGTGCATGTGTAATTGAGAATCATCAAAACTGTCCTTGGGGAAAATTCAACATAGCCTTCCTTCCAGACATGGATCCACTGCACAGTTCCCAGCTAAGCATCAGAAATTGTGAACACAGGCAAGCTTCTGCTGGGTGAGAACCCAGTGTGAATACAGGCAAGCTTCTGCTGGGTGAGAAGCAGGTGTGAACACAAGCAGCTTCTGCTGGGTGAGAGCCCAGTGTGAACACAGTCAAGCCTCTTCTGGGTGAGAACCAGGTGTGAACACAGTCAAGCTTCTGCTGGGTGAGAACCAGGTGTGAACACAGGCAAGCCTCTGCTGGGTGAGAACCAGGTGTGAACACAGGCAAGCCTCTGCTGGGTGAGAACCAGGTGTGAACACAGGCAAGCCTCTGCTGGGTGAGAGCCAGGTGTAAATACAGGCAAGCTTCTGCTGGGTTGCCTCGGCCCAAGGGGATTCTACGAGACCCTAGGGAAGGGGAGAAAGAATGAAGAGACACAAAGAAGGAGAGCAAGTCTGGGGTTCTGATCAAGCTCTGTAACTTTAATTTCAGGGGCAGATTATAAAGACGCAGCAGAACAGGAAGTTTAGGCAAGAGTCATTGCTTAGGGCTATCCCACTATTGAATCCTCATTGTCTAAGACTGTCCTATCTGGCTCCCAGGAAATACCAGACATTCTTTAAGTTCCTGGGACCTGAGACCCTCGGACATCCTTTCTTAACCTTGTACTGCCTAGGCTTTCCAGAACAGCAGGTAATTTCCTGAGATTCTCTTAAAACAGCAGGTAATTTCCTGGGTTTGGCTCCTGGCACTGGGTGAGAACCCAGTGTGAACACAGGCAAGCCTCTGCTGAGTGGGAACCCAGTGTGAACACAGACAAGCCTCTGTTGGGTGGGAACTGCTGTTTGATGTGGTGTTGGTATCTTTCTGTGACTTTGCCTATGAAACTCCGGGTCCACATCTATAAGGGTGCATGTAAACTTTATGCTAACAGGCTGAAGATTCTCAGCCCTGGAGACTGTCCACAAAGGCTTTCCTCTTGCTCCCTCTGTCATGCTGTGCAAAGTTACTGTTTCAGGCTATTTACACACTTGGGCCCCGAGGCAGTGTTAATACATAAATCAACTCGGGTTCTCTGAGTTCTTAAAGATAGATGGTGATGAAACACTTTGTATAAAGTAAAGCAGGAGCAAGGGGGTAAATTTACGTCAAACCTCTGAATGCTCTTGTAATGTGTAGTAGTTCAGCTCCAAACACTGAAGGAGAAGCATCAGAAAAGCAGTCTGGATGAGCTAGCTCTTGGGTTTAAAGCTTTGCATGTAGCATTTACTATGTCTCACGAACCCATTTAAGTCAATGACAACAAAAAGACCACGTTCTAGGGAAATGTGTAGGGGAATATAACATTAAATGTTAATGCTCACAGGTAGTAATGAAAGCGATAGCCACTAGATGGCGAATGCTACTGTCTGAATTTTAAGCATCTAATTGATGCTTTGAGTCAGGTAATAAATACTGCTTGATGAGTTAGAGAAACATCACTAAAGATGTGTTTGGATGGTGTCTTATGTTGGGTTTTACTGCTGTGAACAGACGCCATGACCAAGGCAACTCTTGTAGAGGACAACATTTAATTGGGACTTGCTTACAGGTTCAGTCCATTATCAAGGCATGGCGACATCTAGGCAGATGTGAGTGGAGAAGCTGAGAGTTCTACATCTTCATCCAAAGGGAGACATGTGGGGACTTCCAGACAGCTAGGACAAGGGTATTAAAGCCCATGTCCACAGTGACACACCTACTCCAATAAGGCCAATCCTCCTAACAGTGCCCCTCTCTGGGCCAAGCATACACAGAACATCCCAGGTAGATTTGGTAGGCTATCCCTCTTCCTGTCTCTTCCTTCCTATTCTGGATTCTTTTCTTGCTTCCTTTTCTCTACAGCTTATCTGGTCAGGGAATATATTTAAGACATGATTGGGAGATGTGACAACCCATGGACTAAGGCAGCTCCTTTCTAAATCAGAAAGAGCCACCCCTCTCTTCTAGGGCATTTAGTTTTCTGTGACTATGTATTTATTATCTTTATTCACTATTAGACAGTTATCTATTCCCAATTCTTTTAAATTTATTTATTTATTTATTTATTATTTATTTATGTATTTAATGTATAAGAAGGTTGGCCTGCATGTATGTATGTATGTATGTATGTATGTATGTATGTATGTATGTATGTATATGTATCATGTACAAGTGTGATGCCCATGGAGGTCTGAAGGAGTCATCAGATCCAATGGAACTGGAGTTAGAGATGGTTGTAAGCCACCTAATTGGTGCTGGAACTCAAACCTAGGTCTCCTGGACGATCAGCCCATGTGCTTAACTACTGAACTATCTAGCCCCTACTTTCCAATTCATGTTGCTGTTTAACAGAGTTCTGAATAAATAATCCCTGTAGCACAGGTGACTGGTTGTCTGTGTGATCTTACCTACCTTCCTAGGGAGACTGTTTCCGGCCTAATCTGGGAAGATCTCAGTAATAAAATGTGGGAGAGTGTGTTGTTCACTTCTTTGCGAATTTGCAGCTAAATATTTTCACTTCTTCTCTAGTCATTGTCAATTTTGATTTCTAGTTGCTCATTACTTGTGTATAGAAATGACTGAAGTTTATTTTTTGTTTGTTGACTGAGATGGCTAGGGTTTTGTGTGTGTGTGTGTGTGTGTGTGTGTGTGTGTGTGTGTAATATGTGTGATGTATGCGTTTCCAGTGAGAATGTACAGGTGCGTATGTGGAGATACGGAGACCAGATGTCAACACTATGTATCTATTTCTCGATTGCTGGTCACC